GCCTTACTAAGCGAGTATCCAGAGACTTTGGACCCGAAAAGTGGTACTGGAAAGTGCCACAATGCCGAGTCCAGTGCCAATGGTCAGATTGTAGGCTACCCCACATGTCCAGTCAAGCAGTGTCTGCGTATGGCCTCCAAAGCTGAGGAAACACTGACATGAATAGCTGCTACACAGAGACCAGCACAAGCAGCAGTGTAGTGAGGAATCTTGATTGAAAATCACCAATGAAAAAACATTTCCACAAAAAATAAGTAGACTTTATTTCAGAAGAGCTGAAGAAAAGGTGGCCAGTCTCCTAGGACACTAGCAGAAAACTGAGGCATGCTGTTCATATGAAGGGTTATACAGGGGCTGGCTTACAACTTTGTTTGCCAGTGTCCCAACCTCCTCCTCAGACCTGGCTGTTTTTAAATTCCTGTGCCCCTCAATGGACAAGAAATTTAATTTGTGCACTGTCCTGCACGTTTGAACTTGCTTAATATTTAAGTACGCTTTCATACTCCTGAACAATAATGCAACAATTGACCTACCATTTTAAACTATGCTTAGGCTTCGTATGCACCAGCAGCGTGCATTACCAGACAGCTGCTGGTGTGTGCCGTTAGGAAAGCGCTGCAATGCTCTGATTTTAGCACATATGTTTTTTCACTGAATTTTATTGAAATGTCACATTGTGAGATTTCGTTCAGTTCAATTCACCCCACTATGTTGTGATGGGTGTACTGTGTCGCAACACACTGCACTGAAAAAAAGTACTGCATTTAGTAAATTTTTTCTCTAACTTCTATAACAAAAAATACTCAGACATCCTGTCTTCCCATCTACCAAACCTATTTAACTCTCTCCCCTTCCATAAAAATCCACTTTTCCTCCTTACCAGCCAACATATCAATGATACCCAAACCAGGTAAAGGTAGCTTACACATTACAAACTTACATCTGATCTAATTCTGATATCAAGCGGTCAGCAAAAATCTTAGCCTCCAGAACCAATGAATTCTCGGGATCCCTCATAGACCAAGACAAGGTGGGATTCATTCTCTCTCACCAAGCTGGGGAAAATGTATGCACTCACTTTTTCCATATTTACACCAAAGAAATATGCTTGGCTAACTGTTTTTTCTAGACATACAATGGGCTTTCAAAACCCTCTCTTGGGACTACCTTAATTATGTCTCAACAAAATGTAGTTAAGCTTGTTTGAACAAAAAGTAGCTTTGGACATCATTTCTGATCTTAACTCATCTACTTCCCAAGTACCATATGCAGGCACATCCCAATAGCCCTTCCTCACAGAAAGAGGTACTAGGCAGGGTTGCCCCCTTTCACTGATCATCTTTATTATCGCCCTTGAACCCCTAGCAAGGCAATAGAGCTGCATCACACCAGTAGAGATATGCATATGAATCACTGACACATAATAATGGGGAACGTGATCAACTACAGAAACCTGCAAGTCCCATTTTCAAAAGGTACATTATCAATTCTATTACAGTCATGACGGGAAGATTATAATCTACTGTCCATTTATCAGGGGATGGGCATGCTGCACTTTAATATAAACAAAAGCACTGCAGGTTAAATTTCCAGTTGGGACTTCTTACCAGCCATTCAAACTTAATAGCTTGCACTTTGTGTAAGGTTACCATTCGTCCTAATCTCCCAAGGACAGTGCCTGTTTTGAGAGGTCTGTCCCCAGACCTCTCAAAAAGCAGTGAATTCAGGTCAATCAAATAAGGAAAGCGGCTCCTCTGTTGCCTGTTATTCTCTGCAGCTCCCCCAGGGACATTGCTGGGAACTTTAGGGTAAAACATGCCACATACCAACTCCAACTATTTAGCTTGGGGCTCCAGTAATATAGTCAAGGGGGCTGGGCTTGTGCATAGCCATTGCAAAGATGACCTGTCAGGGATGACATCGGCTGGATGAATATGGCAGCTCAGTGCAGGGGTTTCTGCTCACTATGGGGGCCTTGCTTGTCCTGCCCTGCCAATCACCAGACACCACCATTAACTGCCAACACTGAGCACCGGGGCCTGCGCAGGTCAAGCAACACTAACATGTGACAGACTGACATGTACTGACACACTGACCCCTGCAATCAGCACTAATTACTACTCTGTTATTTACTACTGATCCCTGGACTCTGCATTACTCCTGCCTGCTGCATTACTTACTCCTGAACTCTGCATTACTTACTACTGCCTCTGAACTCTGCATTACTTATGCCTAACCCCTGCACTCTGCTTTACATACCGCTGACCGCTGCATTACTTTCTTCTGCCCTCTGAACTCTGCGTTACTTATTCTTGACCCCTGCACTCTGCATTACATACTACTGACCTCTCAACTACTTACTTCTGCACTCTGCATTGCAGTTCACTGACCTCTAAACTCTGTTACCTACCCCTGTACTGTAAATGAAAGTAAATGGCAAGCTTCTCACTGACGCTATAAAAGTCGGATTCATTTATAGGTTTACAGTAACATTTATAATATTGTTTTAGTTTTCTTCAAACCTTCATTACTGTTTGATAGGGTCTTGCTAGCTTACCTCATAAAAAAAAAAAAATCACGCTGCACCCTGGTGATCATGTGTATTGTTCATAGTGTGTATTCCCACAGTACATGCCATATGCTGTAAAGCAACACCCTTTTTATTCACCAAGTCTACAGGTGTCTAGTGAGTGGCACACTACACATTTTTCTTCTTCCTACCTTCAAGAACTCCTTCCTAAGTACTGTATGCATGCATATTGTGGTGCCTTTTTATTTGCAATCTGGTTATTTTATCTTTATATCTTAAATGTCTGCCTCTTGTTTCAAAAGTATGTGACCAGTCGTTTCAGGGTGTGTTAAAAATGGGGCATTTATGGGTGTGTCCCTGGATTTCATTTCTAAAATCTGGTAACTTTACTACTGTGTGATGAAATTATTGCCACCAGCAGATTTAAGAAATGTATTTTGCTTTGCCCAGGAGAGAAGCAGTAGAATGACCAACACAGGAAACAAGTAGAAGACTGATTTTATTGGCAGCAGGACAGGTACAATACTTACTAACAACTCTTGGTAGATGACATTACCTTCCATACAGTAGACCTAGCAGGCATAACTGTGCAGCACAGCCACCCAGTGAAGGCACCTGCTTTAAAAGCTGGTAAAAGCCACTTCTCTTTGAATCACATGCTTTTACCTATAAAGTGATGCCATTTTCACATATATAAACACTTTTTTTTTTTTTTTACTCCCTTCTTTATTATGATTGCTTAATTGTAACATGCAGAAGTCACACACTAAAAAGCAGCTTTTCACATTCTTGGGAAGTAGTTTACGCGCCGTGCTGTGTCATGATATAGCAATGCACCTAAATAATGCTCGCCCACACTGTTTACACAAGATGTCAAACCACCTCCGAAAACCCACGCAGCATCACTGTGCAAGTGAATGTCTATCATCTGTATCAATTGTAGTAGAGAGGAACATTGGTGTTTGGAACACACTTTGCTCCACAGTTAATCTGGCCTTAATACATTTTTCGAAATAATGTTTTCTTTACAAAATAAAAAACAGCCACCCAAGCAAAAAAATGACAAACAAAATCCATATGCTGCATGTACACCAATGGTAAGATTAGAAATTGTAAAACTTGCTCATACTCATTAAAGGACCATTGGTTGCGAAGACTGTGCAATACAAAAAAGGACCTCATCACAGAAATATAGAACTGTCGTTGTTGGTCACAGCCTACCAGATTCTCAATCGTATCTGACCTGACAAGATGGAAGAGAAAATCTGTTTAGTTTCTGCTGACATAACTTTGGATTGAGAGGTCCATAATTACAATAAAAAGGCCACTTAACAAGAGAAAAGTTTCATGTAGCGGTTAAAGGCATTGTGCAACATTTACAAATCTCCCCGAACTAGAAAAACCACCGGACGGGTTTAACCCCTTTCCCGATGTCCACTTGACATGATGCACATCAAGAGGAACCTACAGACAACTTCCTTTTCACAAATATATAAAAAGTGACGCCAATAGTAGCCCCCAGATTAGAAAGCAATAAAGTCAGTAATCGCTAAGCACAGATTGTAAACCAGAGCAGCTACTAGATAAAGAAGCTGTAACAACACTAGCTTTGCAAAGAAGTTGTACTGGCCGGCATTCCTCCACGACATAATGTACCTAGCGTGTTGCACAACACATGCTTATTTTTTTTTCAGCTTACTGAATGCGAAGGTGATTGCAGATGTCTTAATAACTGCTCGCAGTAAACAATCAGCATTTGATTTTGGTCCCCAGATCAGAGCCAGTTATGCTGACAAAAATGTTCTATGCTTTTACTGCAGCTGCACATGGTGTTGCAATTACACAGCTATAACCAGTAAAATGCCAACTCATAGAAGCAATGGCTCTGAGGTATGTATGGCACTTGAACACAGGTTTCTGAGGACCACCCAAGCAAATCCAGAGGAGTAGAAACTCACCTGCTGCTTTTAGGCTTAATTGACTCATAAAAGGCAGCCATACGCTTGCACTTGACTATTTTGCCGTGTCTTGAAAATTGACTGCAAAGCCACCATGCACAAAAAGTACACTTCAAAAGTGTTGCTCATAAGGTTTAATGAACCATGAAAGCATGGGGTGGAAGGGCACAGTCCACCTCCAGTTTTAGCTGGGCCAATCAGACACTGTCGGGACGTCCTCAGAAGTCCGTGTACACCTAGCGTTAATACTGTACACAACATTGGCATATGCTTGCTACTGAATTATTAGCAACAAGTCGAGTATGGACAGAGGGCAGGAATGTTCTTCAACATAATAATTACTAAGTGTTCATAAATACCTGTAAAATTCCACTTACTGGTGTGGAAAAAAGGATCATAGTTATATAGTATAATTGTCCTTTGAGAATGGAATGCTTGCTGGATTGGGAATGGGGGGGGTTTTCTGGTAAAATTAAATAAGAGGCCCTTGCAAGAAAAACCATTAGAAAGGTAAAAAAACAAAGTTGTGCTTGTGTGTTTTGTATGGCGGACAGAAGATGTTAACTTATTTTCCTTTCTGTTACATCAGGGCAGCGTGTCATAGCTAACAATGTTGGGAATATTAGGACTCTCTTGTCTTTGGTCAACAAAAGCAGTTCAAGTTGCAAAAGCCATCTTAATTTGTCCATTGAAAGGGTGAGAAGCATCGTAGCATTACTGTTCAATTTCCAGGTTATCGATTTTATTATCAGTAGACTTAAAGCTAATCACCTCCTCATAGGTAATTTCTGAAAGAAAAAAAAAAAAAAGAATATATTAAAACAATATTTCATATTAAAAAAACCATTTCACTAAAGCTCTGGCCCTGCCACAGCTCACTGTTGAGGAGGCCGGCCCTCCAGGGTCTTTCATGTTTGCAAAAACAAATTTCCTTGTTACAGATACTGTGCATGCAAATAGAAAATAACCGGGACTTGTCATAAAAAGAAACCTGCCATGTGAGAAATTTGTATGCAGCCATTCCGAACTTCCATCTTTACCAAAATGCTAGTTGTTTGTTGATCCAATGACTTAAAATGACTTTGAATCATTGATGTGGAACAAGTAAGCACTTTAGATGTTGTGAATTAACTTACATACTTGTTCTAGGTCCATGACTCAGAAAGTACCAAGCCAATGGATCATTATAACATTCAGAAAACGAACTTTTAAGATGAGGTCATCAAAGGAAACTCCATATTCCTGTTTTTAATAGGCTTCCCTAAAAGTGAGGAAATAAAATTGAAAGTATATTTTAATGAGGTAATCTAGTGCTATAGGGGAGTACCTTTGAAGACATGCCCGAAAGGTGGTGAGTATTATAGCCAGAGACATGCCCGACAGGTGGTGAGTATTGCAGCAAGAGACATGCCCGAAAGGTGGTGAGTATTATAGCCAGAGACATGCCCGACAGGTGGTGAGTATTGCAGCAAGAGACATGCCCGACAGAAAGTGAGTATTGCAGCAAGAGACATGCCCGACAAAGTGAGTATTGCAGCAAGAGACATGCCCGACAAAGTGATTATTGCAGCAAGAGACATGCCAGACAGGAGGTGAGTATTGCAGCAAGAGACATGCCCGACAAAGTGAGTATTGCAGCAAGAGACATGCCAGACAGGAAGTGAGTATTGTGGCCAGAGATATGCCCGGCAGGAGGCAAGCATGGCAGCAAGATCTACTTTTTTTTCTTTTTTGATGGTGCTGGTGGACTATTACTTTCTCTTGTGTTTGCAAGTAAAAGAAAGAAAATAAATTTAAAAAAAGCCCCCTGGAGCTTTTATCCATAATGCACAGCATATTAGCACATTATGGCAGACTTACCCGTCAAAGTGAAGCACCAGCCCCCCCCTTGCTGCCACTGTCATCTGTGTCCCAGTCTTCTTCCAGGTTTCGAGCCTTGAGTTGTGGCGCCCTGATGACGTAACTCCCGCACATGCGTATGGGAGTTACTTCATCTTGGCATGCCAAGCCAGCACACTGAGCTGCACATGCACAGCTCAGTGCACAGGGAAAAAGTAATGCTGAGCCGACAGGCAGGAGGTTTACGGCAGAAGAAACTTGCACAGTCTTGGTCACAGAAAGCCTACTGATCGACAATTTTTTTTGTTTTTTGTTACTTCACTTCCACTTTAATACACAAGTCTCTTTCCTGTCAAAAACCCACTACAGCTCTACCTTTCCATTCATCAATAGTGCGCTCCTTATTCTCTGTAGATTCATCATAAGGCTCAGCCTCGGGCTCATCTTCTGGATCATGATACTGTTCAAAGTAAGGGTGTGCAAGGGCTTCAGAGGCGGCGATCCTCTTGTCACTATCCAGAATGAGCATCCTCTTCAGCAGATCTATGGCTATTAAAATAAAAGAACACAATGTTCATAGCAACTTTTTTAAAATTAACAGCAGTATAAAATTTGCAGACATCCATGAAGCCACAATCAATACAGAAAAAAAAACCATGCATAATATTATTTTTTTTTATTTAGTGTGCACTGTCATGTTCCTGCTGACATAAAATAGTTGTGGTTTTAACTTTTTTGCTGAGCTTTATACTGCAGGATGGCTTATCTCGTATCTTTAAGGATCACACAATAATCTTCTTTAGCAAGCCATATCTATCCTATGACTACTGAACGAACTGGGATATCACATGTGTAATGGTGTGATCGGAAGGACCTCAATTCACCAAATCACAGTGACATAAAGTCAATTTCCACCTTTGCATTGTGTCTAGCCACTGCTTGTAAAAAAAAAAAATATATATATATTCCAAAGGGACTCCCGAATCAGAGCCCCAAAACATTTTCAGAAGACATAAGGTCTGACTTCTGAGTCAGTGATTTGCTATGTAGTAAAGTTCTCAGGATAGCAGTCCAAGGGTTTGCACTTTTAAAAACAAGAGAGCAATAGCAGTACACAGTATATTTCTGTTCTCAATGATTCTATTATGATCAGTGCTCATAGGGGAACATGTACAGTGAATCATCAGCTTATAGTAGCAGCTGGTGATTTCTAAAAACGCAGTTTTCCGCTTTAGGATAAATCCTTTGGTTAAGGATGGAACCTGTCCTGTGAAGACATAAACTGAACAGCTCTGCTAGTGTAATCAAGGTGTCTGTAAGGGAAGTAGGATCGTACTGACTTACCTAGAGGATTGGCACCACAAAACACCTCATTTAGATCCTGTTGTGGCATATATGGCAAAGATTCAATATACCGTCTAGCCTGGTTACAAAACAGATCAGTATTACTAATCACACACACACCTGACCATATACAGAAGCTAGAAAACAACAATACATTCCTAAGCAAATCATTTCCCACAACCTGCACATATTGTCCAGTACACCGTATATTACTTACATGTTCAGATGAAATTTTCATGAGAAACTCAGAATTAGGTGTTCCAACAACTTCCATTATCCTTTTCAGCTGGTCGATATCTGTGATTATTTAGGAAAAGGACTCTTCTGTAATCTTGCAGCAGAATAGTTTGTAAACAATGGCCCATGAAAAAGGACGATAAGATGCAATTTTGTAAACCAATTTATATATCTGCTGCCAGACTCATCCACCTTACCAACCGTTCAGTGTCTGCCGACCCTCTCTGGCAATCCCTTCACTGGCTCCCACTTGCCCAACAAATAAAATTCAAAATACTAACATACAAAGCCATCTACACCTCCGCCCCAACCTACATCACTGACCTCATCTCAAAATATCACCCAAACCGTCCTCTCAAGACCTCCTGCTCTATAGCTCTCTCATTACCTCCTCCCATGCTCGCCTCCAGGAATTCTCCAGAGTGTCCCCCATCCTCTGGAACTCCTTACCCCATTCTGTCCGCCTATCTACTACGCTGCTGTGACGCTCGTTTGCGAGTGCGAGCCCCCTCGGGGTGGCGAAGACCCACTGCGCAGGCGCAAAGAGGAATTCCCTCAACTCGGCCGGGAGCCCGGTTGCAACGTCGCTTGGCAACGGCGGACTGCGCAGGCGCAAAGCAGGACTCCGCCTCCGCAAGTACGAGCACTCGGCATAAAGCCGCGGCTCACTAATTGATCGGCGTCCCCTCTCTACTTCCATCCGGATCCCTCGCGGCTGGGCATCAGTGAACCGGTGTCCATCTCCATCCTCTGTCCTCACACAGAACAAAACCGCAAGTACTAGGGGAAAACCCTCACTATTGCTCTTCAGACTGCTGGGCTGATGCTCGGGGAAACCTTGCCTTCTGGAGCTTACTAAACCCTTCAGATGGATTACATGCTTTATTCAATTATGCAATAACTCTACCACTATCTGATTACCTGCTTGATACTTCTATGCTCAAATTGATTACCTGCTTGATACTTCTATGCAATAACGTAACCATCAATTGATTACCTGCTTGATACTTCTATGCTCAATTGATTACCTGCTTGATACTTCTATGCAATAACGTAACCATCAATTGATTACCTGCTTGATACTTCTATGCAATAACGTAACCATCAATTGATTACCTGCTTGATACGTCTATGCTCAATTGATTACCTGCTTGATACTTCTATGCAATAACGTACCCACCAATTGATTACCTGCTTAATAGATGCATGCTTTAGTTCACTAGTATTTGTGTGACATAGCGGTGGTGCGCATCGCAGCCATTGGAATTGGTTGTGTTGCCTTACTCACCGCCCACTCATATTAGGGGCATAACCCCGCTCGACTCAGGATACGGGGCATGATGTGAAGCAGCTCCCTACAAGCCTCAATAAATACAGGGCAATTGGACACCAAGCTGCAGAGGCTGAACCCCATTCCTATAGACAACGCTCTAAGCTCCGCAGTTGTGATTCAGAAACACGCCCGGTAGGAGGTAGAGTATTACAGCTGCCCACCTTTAGGCGATCCTTAAAAACCTATCTCATCTCAACAAAACTGCCTTTTACTTCCCCTAATAACTCAATCTAAGCAATTATTACCTTCTCTATCACTTGCCCCTCCTACTAGATTGTAAGCTCTCACGAGCAGGGCCCTCCCAACCCTACTGTTCTGAAACGGTATTGTACTGTAAATTGTATTGTAACTGTACTGTCTCCACTATTTTGTAAAGCGCTGAGCAAATTGTTGGCGCTATATAAATCCTGTATAATAATAATAATAATAATAAAATGCTGTGTATAAGTGAAGGATACAGTCATTCCCTGGAAAAAGAGCTTTGCCCTTCAAAAGCTCGGCCATAATGCATCCAACTGACCAAATGTCAACTGCAAAAAAAAGGTTAAAAAAGGCTTTACTTATCGTCTAAAAGGTACAACTTATTACAACATTATTTAAGTACAAAACAGAACAAATACTTCATGTGGCTTTGGTTTTTAGTTGTTTTATACAGCAAAATCCAGAAGGCCTGGCTACTAAAGACTTTCTTCTGAGTGCAGGTCTCTATAGACAGAACCTACCTTATGCCAGCCAAAGTGAATAGATCAAATGGTCGAATATGAGTCATGCCCATCCTCAAATTATTTCCAAAGTGCCACAACAACAAGTCTAGGTTTAATGTTTATGTTCAGTGTGTGAAAGTTCTTTTTGTAAGAAAAGGGGGATTCATTGAAAGTTTCTCACCATGCTGGAATTTTTCTCCAACTGACCCCCAGACTCAACAGTTAAATCCTGCATGCAAGTTGTGAATATTGTCGGGCTCAGGATGGTACTATTGTTCAGCCTAGCTCTGATCCAAAGCACAGATGCATAGCAATGGATTGTTGACTCACAGATGGCATTGAAAGAGACCATCTACATCAAACTGGAACAACCATATCTGAACTGGACTGAGACCTTCAACACCATCTGTCTTCCATATATATTACCATTTTTACATGTGACAATAATTCACATGTGAACCAAATGATTAACATATGTGCAGACTCCCGAACACCAAGGAATGGGATAATGTCAATAGAAAAGGGTGGCTCCACAACTTCACAGCTCCCATCCTGTTCTTGGATAATATCATCTGCCTTAGTATATTCCATGGTGATTAGATTAAGGTGCATTTGTTACCTGTGTGGATATATATGATGGAGTATGCCTCCTGACACATTAGAACTCAAGAAGTGGCTTGGATAGGCTATGATAAATCTTCAACGTTACAGAGCAAGTCCATTTGAATGTGACCAACTATTTGATGGCTATTAAATTGGGCCCGCCCAGGTTGCACACGTCACACGTTCTGTGGATAGGCAACGTGTTGAGTGCAGAAGGAATTCGCAGGGGAGAATGGGACACGTGAGTGGATGGTGTGGTTTGGAGGAAATGGCTGGATATTGTGTCAGTACTGGTAACAATAACAAGGTAGAGATGCATGGTTATCGGGCATCTCCTATCCAGTCTCTCAAGTGTGTTTCCCACCCTCTCTACCTCCTGGATGTTGGGGGGATGTATCCTGGCTATGTGGACTCATTCATCACCAAGGTCTGAAAAGATGGTTGCCGCCTGTCTTCCTGAGGAAGCTTTGGCGAAATGCATAGAAGCCTGGACCCACAGCACATTGATATATGGACAAATTATATGATGAAGGAATAGGTCTTAATTTACTTCCATGAGAAGATTGTGGTCTAAAAAGAGTTTGTTAAGCAGATTATATTTGTTATGGGCTGATGTGGTCCAAGGGGGCTAATGCCATGGCAAACAGATGAAATGGGAGCAGTGACTTGATGCATATTATGGTGTAAGTTTTCTATTTTATCTATTTTATTAGTATGTATATTTCAATAAATGTTTAAAAACATATATGATTTGTCTGTGTTCCGTTCATACCGTGTATGACACCCATTGCTTTGGTTTGTTGTTGTTACTATTAATAGCTATTCCATGACCTAGATAAATGAGAACCTTCACAGGCTGCAATTATGACATGTCTCGCTGACATTCAAAGTTTCTCAGAATATTTTGCACCAGTATTGTTTGCCTTTTGTAAAACAGAAATAGTACAAATTATTTCTTGAGCATCAACTAGTTACCTGTCTGGTTATAGTGCATCCAATTCAACATGATCTCTGGAGCTCTGTACCACCTAGTTGCTACATATCCAGTCATTTCGTCATCTGTCTGCCTTGCCAGTCCAAAATCTAAAATCTACACACAAAAAAAAATTCAACTGTAAGACAGTGATATTGTCATCCTTTCATCCTTGGCCAGAATCTTTTCCACTTTGGAAATGGAATGTTAAACGATGATGCTTACCCTTAATTCACAATCTTCGTTTACCGCTAAATTGCTGGGTTTTAAGTCCTATAGTACAAAATTAAGAATCAGTACAGAGAAAGGGTTCTAGTCATGCAACAGCGGTGTGGCACTAGGAAAAAAAAATACTGGCATGCATTTCATTCTACAAAACTTGTAAAGGGAATGTCCTGACGACAGTTTTGCTTCAATAAGCATTCTTCTTCACACACATGTATGCAGCTTAAACCGCTGCAGGAATATTTATTAGATGAGTGACCAGTGGTAGGGGCCACATGTAAAAAGTGTCCTGCTTTGTGTATGGCAACCAACGTCAGAATGTCACATTTGGAAATCTAATGGGTTGCCATGGGTAAAAAGAAACAACATTTCCACACATTGGATGAGATTGAGCTTGTTTATTAAGACATAGTTCTATGTAAAGCAGCAAAACAGCACAGCTTGTTTTCATTTTATGACCCAGGATTTATTCTGGTACCAAGCCTCAATAGGTCATCCCATGATGTGATTTTAGTTGGTGTTGTGTTTTTGTTTTGGGTAAAAAAAAAAAAAAAAAAAAAGAAGGATTTTTCCAAGTCATGAAATAAAGCAGCAGCAGCAGCTGTCTGGTATGAGTAAAACAACGCTTTCTATTGCACAAATAAGGTTTATTAAATAAAAAAAGCCTCGCTCTGTTTGTATAATCGGACATGTGAGCACCCAGCTGGCTTTAACAATACAACCATCCAGATTTTATTCTTTCATCTTCTATTGTTAGGAAAAATTACAGCATGCAAAACAAAAGTAAGGAAGGAGGAGATATGGGTGCAAAAATTGAAAAAAGGGACTCAGTCATGAAGGGGTTAAGGGCACTGCTCCCTGGAATGAAACTTTAACAGAACTTCTTTCCCACAGAAGGCACTTTTTAATATACTGGCGATATGAGGGAGTGTGTTGCGTTATTAATAAAGCAAGGATTTGGTAAACCAGTTTATGTACTGTATAAGCCATCACATTCTCAAACAATTCATCCCCGCACAGCTCCCTCCTCATGTATCACTGGACCCTACCTCTTAGATTGTAACCACTCACAGGCAGGGCCCTCCTTACCACCTGGTCTTGAATTGTATTGTAATGTCTTCCTTATATTGTAAAGCGCTGTGCAAACTGTTGGCGCTATATAAATCCTGTATTATTATAATAATAAGCCATTATCTTTGCACAACAAAGAACAGGTAAGCGGACCTGAGGGTGCCTCAGCTAGATTGTCTGGATGGGTAAGTAACTTACTTCCCTGCTCCTCCCTTCATCCCCATATTACTCACACCCCTACTAGGAAACAGGTGGAAAGTCTGGGCTGGAATTTTGGAGAGGCCCCATATGACCTTTTCTTGAAGCTACCATCCAATACCAAAAGGCATACAGTCTCCCTTATCTGTGAACTATACTAAAATGAGCCAAACCCTAAACATGCAGGATAACTGATTCTAGGCACATGACTGGCAGCTGTGACTAACAGAGACTGGGAAGAGAATATGGAAAGATATGAATACTTACTCTATGAATGATCCCCGCTGAATGGATATACTGTGGAAATCAAATGTGTATTAATTAAATCACTTAGCATTTAATAATAAAACAGAATCACACAGCATAGCCCCTACAATGTATTTCCTGGAGTTTATGTGTAACAAGGCAGGCCTCAATCTCTTTTCGGGAAAGGCAATGTCCCAGGATGGTTGTTGTTGGTGAATTCCTCATATTCACATCAAGTACATAAAGATGTCCTTCATAGAATTCTCCACAGGTATATGAAGATTGCACTCTGACCACTGATAACAAGGAACCAGCTTTCTTGCTTTAATAGAATTCTGCTAGAATGATGACTTACTGGACCTTAGACCGCTAGAGCGGAGGGTGAGTGAGGCTGCAGGGGCCAGGTCTAGCAGCCAGCCATGACTGTGGGTCGCGTGAGTTATTTTAGCTCCTTAGACAAAACCAGCACCTAACCCTTGCAGTTTAGGGGCAGCCCCACTGCAAGGGTTAAGATTCTATTTGCTCAGAGTTCTTCTTTAAAGACATACAGAACAATAAGGATTTCAGAATAAAGTCAAGCATAACAACATACTGAGTGAGAGAAAAACACTGTACAGTGCTCTCTCTCTGCTGCATGTGCTGTTCCTTGGCAGCGCTTTGTACTGGACACTTCCTTTTGAGCAGGAAAAAAGCAAGGTGAGGCTACAGATTAGCAGACTGTTCCACCGGGCACTGTCAGCCCTGCAGTCTGCCAGAGTTAAGTGTAGTCTGGGTGTGGATCAATGCTTACATCATTTAAGTTGATGGAGAGATAGCAGTGCAACCTTCCACAGAAGCAGCAATGGATGATCACTGGGCTTTCCCAACGCAGTTCTTATAGGCATGTAGCCTTTTCTTCAGTCAAGAGGCTCTTCAAAACAAATAGAAACTAAAATAAGTAGTGTCAATTACCTTGAGGCCCCGAAGCAGCTGATAGATCAGGAATTGGATGTGGTCATCTGTCAGCTTTTGGCACTTTACAATATTGTTCAGGTCTGCTCCCATTAGATTGGTTACTAGGTACCTTCAAATTGTAAGAAGTACAGATATGGTACATTACTATTAGTGCTGGAACACAATATATAACGTGTGTGTGTGTGGGCACAGAGGTGCAGATTGAAGGCAGTTTCTGTGCCACAAATACTAATCTACAATCAGAGGAAAGGAAGGCTTCTTTGTGATAATCTATGCGACATACTACAGATGGTCAATTCATGGGGTCTGTGAATTTGGTTCTTCCAAATAAACAATTTATCTGCAAGATACATACAGCCGGTGCATGACTTTACAAAACTTGGAGATACTTCTATGTATGAGAAGACATGACTGCCAATACTTCTATGTAGAATGTAAATACCATGGTGCAGGATGTTAAGTACGGTATTTTGTTTTAGTAATACCCATCAGTAATGAGTGCTGCCAGCAGTCATGTGCATAGAGCTTTGTAAATACACTGGTGAGAACCTCAGAATGAAGAATCATGGACTACTTACACTTCAGTAAAAGTGTCCACGGACAATGATGGTGTAAACACATCCAGTAGACCTATTACCTATAGGAAAAACAAAAATAGTTTCATTGTGGTATCACACAAGTGGGAAAACATTGCCACTGCCTTACTATAAATGTATCCTATACATAGTATGAATAGAACATTGTGATCCATGTAGACGGAATGCATCTCCATGGATACATACCATGTGCCAAAAATAGAAGTCTCTCTCATAGTTGCCAACTATACTCATAATCGATTATCAAATTTAAATTGATTGGTTGTTGCAGCCCTATATGACATGTTCCCCGAGAATCCCCCCTCCAGTTTCCAGTGAACCTTACCACTTCACAAGGCTATGGCCTGCCCCAATGGCTTTGTAGAACTACTAGTCACTGATCTGTCCTGCCTTCGTAGAACTATACATCCTAGTGCAATATACATGCATTCTGTCCTCTCTGTACAACTAAAGAGGGCACCTTTTCAAATCACACACAGCACAGCATAACCAACAGTCAACAGTTGGACTATATGACCAAACATTTGTGGACACCTGACCATCACACCCATATGAGCATGTTGGACATCTCATTCCAAAACCATGGCCCCCATTGTGGCTTAACAGTCTCCACACATCTAGGTAGGTTTTCCACAAGATTTTGAAAATTTGTCTGTGAACATTTGTGCCCCATTCACCAAAAGAGCATTTGTAAGGAACTATGGGGTGAGTGGTTTTCCCCATAGTTCTCTTAAGGGTCACGGGAGGACATATACTAGCGTCCTCCCGTGACCCAAAGCTCAGTATATCGCGAGCTACAGCTCGCGGTATACTGAGATCGCTGCAGCCGGGACGGATCCCGACATTACTGTCGAGATCCACCCAGCTGCGTGAGTGACAGCGGGTTCTGCCTACCTAGAGGAAGAGCCAGCTGTACCCGCCCCCTTCCTCCAGTCAGAACTGGAGGATCGGAGAGGGGAGGGGGGAATCCCTGCAGGGAGCCGTGACTGACAGTCACCTCGCTCTGCAGGAAATTGACCGATAAATGAGCGAGCGACGGTATGTGTTCGCTCACTTCCCGATCTATTGAGACGTGTGACAGTTTCATTGTCACAGGTCGGCTAGAACTATGAGGATGAGTGATTTTCACTCACCTCATAGTTCTCCTTTAAATAATCTCCGAATTCCTATCAATGCTAATTCCTTCTGGAGGGGGGCTACTTTTGTTCCCCATGGTCCCGGTGTGTGTTGTATAGTAGTCACCGCTCCAAGCTCTCTCCTGTGATGTACTACAATCTCAATACAAATTAGTAAACTGAACCTGAGATTGTAGTCTATCACAGCTTGGAGTGGTGGCTACATCACAACACACGCAGGGACCATGGGGAACAAAAGTTGCCACCGTCCAGAAGGAAGGACAGTGTCAGCACCAATTCAGAGATGATTTGAGGATCTGCAGATGAGTGATACACAAATAAGATACATTTATGTTAATGGGGTACTTGAATGCATTTTTAAGATTAATCTCCTGTTTAGTGTCACTTTAAATTTGTATAGAAATAAAGGAAACAGTACAAAATATGTATTTGTATGCAAACAGTAATTGCAAAATATGGTATACAAAAAGTCAGAGGCACAATAGAAAGACACCACATTAGCAGTGAACTCTCAAAAGCACAACACAGTACCTCAGAGGAAAGGCCACACATCCTTCTAAGCAACAATCAGGGCACCCAAGGGGGTAGCAAGAGGTGGATAAAAATGCCCAAACAAGTTAACAAAAAGGAAAGAGTGAGGGATGGGAACACCAGGGAAGGGAGTACATGGACAAGAAATGGTTTGCGATGGTCCAAGCAACGGTAAAGAAAGTGTCCTTAAAAATCTCCCACACATATCAGCTCCCCGACCTGCATCCATCAGTGACAACAAAACCATAAAATAGAACAAGAGTCATGAGCAGAGCGTTTGTTTGAATTCCGGTGAATCCCTGAAAGCTATTCAGCAAGACCAGGTTTCCAGAGCCTTGTCAGACCTTTTTTAATCTCATTAAGCTGTTCAATAGGATTAAGATCAGGGCTCTTCACGGAGCATTCCAATTCCTCCACACCAAACTCGCCAAAGCAGGATTGTATAGACCTGGCTTTGTACACAGGAGCCCTGTCATGCTGGAACAAAGAAAAAACTAAAAACTGTTGCTGCAAGATTGGAAAGCACACAAGTGTCTAAAATGTCTTTGTATGCTGCATCATTAACAGTAAGAATAGATACCACCTCTGAAGGATAGTGAGGCGGAAAAAAGAGGTTATACTTCAACCAGTCTCAATAATTAGCCTATTGGCTTACTTTATTAGTATATAGAAAAAGATTATTTAGTATAAAAGAGTACAAACACAGCACCATTGTGACAGCAACTCACTAATAAAATTGGCAACGTTGTCAAACATATCACTCACTAAAAAAACACATAGGACCAACACTGTATCATTAACAGTACCCTTTACTGGAAACACCTAAACTCAACAATTTGGAGGCCACCCAAGTCACATCCATGTCTGGCAGTGGACATCCCTGTTGCCATTTGCACTCTGTGAAGACCAACTCCAGCTTCATCATTTTAACCATGTATGTTCCTCTCCTCTCCGCATTGTGGCATTGGAATCTCTGTGTGGTGGCATGACACCTGGTGCCAGTAAGCTACTTCCTCTTTGCATAGACAGTCAAGGCCACAAGTCCTGTAGTCCTCTTGACAGCAGGATGTGCCATCATAACACTGTGCTTTAACAGTGAGTGTTTCTGGCAGTGTTGACTAGCCAGCCTTTAATGCCAATTGGTTTCTAGCACAAGTACCTGACCCTAGAAGGATGCATGGGAAGCTGGGAGTTGAAGGTTTTAGCGGCCCACACACACTCCACATATGCCATACCGGATCAGAAACTCGGAGGACAGCAATGATACCATGATTTGAACTTTGTAATAAATTATAAGTAAAAAGACAATACAAAAAACACAAATTAGTTTAGGGAGATGAGTGATTTTTATATCCTGGAGTTAAACTTTAAAGAATAATCCTAAAAATACATTAAAGCAGGGCCTTAAGCCAGGCCTTAAGAGTTACTCACCACCAGTTGGATTGAGCCCAGCAGGAGCAGCTGCTCCCACGAGTCAGGTACGCGGTCTTTGACCCCCAAGCCTGACTGAATTTCCACTCGCCAAATGCGAGCAGGCGAGTGGAAATTTTGAGCCCTGCATTAAAGAATAGATCCCCCCATGCTGCTTTAAGGACTTACTTTAAATGATCCCTCTTGATTCGATCATCTTCTTTCCAGTAGTTTTCAGCAATCCCTCCAGCACTGGTGCCGGTCTCTGATCCAGCGCTGACTGCTGTGTCTTCCTGTCCCACGGAGTCTGTACATGTGCACGCTACTGGGCTTCTTGCATTGACTTACCCTGTGTCTCTCCTCTTACCCCGGCCGAATATCTCTGCTGCGCATGCGCCCGCCCCATGACCCTTTGCGGCTGCTCGAGAATTTTTTAGATCATCGCAAGCGGCGGAGACACAGGTAAGTAATAACCTTTTTTAAAAATGTTTTTGCATTTATCTACTGCTTGCTAGCAGTAGATATATGCAAAATAAGTAAGGTTTAATTATTCTTTAAACTAAGAAAGATCTGCAGGACAAACTGTAGCATTAGCTGACTGGTCTTTCGGCTGTCATGAAGCTGTCACTTCAGCTAGGGGAAGGCTGCACCAAATACCAAGTAAAGCAGGTGGAACACTGAATAGTCACAAGTTAATAAATGAAATGTTTATAATCACCAAAACCTAATGTTCAAAAGATCTAAAAAACCTGTCTGTGGACACCCATAGCCATTAGATGATCCTGCTAGATCAGGAAGCAAAATTCATTTCTAAGAAGTGCCTAGAGACTACTGAGCAAAATGTTGAAACCATGTCCGATTGCTACGGCTTTCCTCCTTATAAGCCACTGCTACATTCTACAGCCTAAACAAACAAGTCTCACAATGTGCTTTATGAGGGAGTTCCTGAGGAAGATTTAATTGCAGCATAGCAAGACTATTTCGACACAAACCTCCAGCCCAAAAACAGCGCATCTTCTCTTTCTCCAGAGGCTGCTCCAAGCCTCCACTAGATGGAGATAAAGGTCAGATGACAGGTGACTGCTCATTTAACCCATGAAAAAGTTGGTCGTTTTTTTTTTTCTTCCACTAAGATTCCTCTAGTGGGGGGTCACAAGCAATGTAAAACACATTGCTTCCAGACTGGTGGTCACTGTATATAAAACTCCTCTTTATAAGCTAAACGGGTACCCCTGTGCAATTTACATTACTTTTTTTACTTATTAAGCTGTAAGGACAAGTAATAATAAAAGAATAGGTGTGCTTATTTAAAGGGGAAGGAAATCCTCATTACTCTTTTGCCCCCAATCACTTGCTGCTTCTTGACTATTCCCCCATCAGTTATCACATAAGCATTAATCAAGCAATAACTGATATAAAGAAACAAAGCCCTGTTCTTCTACCAAGCTGGCTGCCCTATAGACAAAAATGGAGCATGTTATATCAGTAGTGGGGTGGGGAGGGGGGGGGATCAGCTGCACAATGACTTTAGGCAGTACTGGCGACTGGCCCTTTGGCCCCGCTTGACTTTTTTGGCACAGCGTCCAGGGTTTAGGTCCTCCTTAAGGTCTCCATAAAAGTAAAGCCACAAAGCCTTAAAATGTATCTACACCCAACTTTTCTGTATGTGTTGCTGTTAGAGAGATTTCCCCTCACTTCCTGTCTTTGTTTTATCTGGATTCATTATTGAAAAAAAGGTTGAACGTTTAACATTACTTTAATCATTTTGCAACTATAGGTCATGGATGCTTAGATGCTCATTTACCTGTGAATTTGAAAAAAATCTTTATGGCTAGTTTACCTATCTAGGCTTTTATTTGACACAATTTTTAAATACATAGTATTTGAGGTTGAATAAAGACATTAGTCCATCAAGTCCAACCTATTAGGATCTCATTCTAGGAGTACCTGTACCCCTGTAAACATCTCAGATTTCTTACAGGCTGACAAATGGACAAAAAGTGAAAACGTTTTAACTTATTTAAAATAGGTTTTCAAACTGTTCTAATAATTATCTGCTGTCACGATTAGTGCCAGTTGTGTTCAAACAAAGCCGTGTGATGACCATGTCATATAGTTGACATTAGTGACGCGACGCTCGGCGAGGTCAGTAAGAAGAAACCTGACCAGCATACTCACTTTCCTCAGTGCTCGAGACGCTGACTCGAGTATAAGCCGAGGGGGGCATTTTTCAGCACAAAAAATGGACTGAAAAACTCGGCTTATACTCGAGTATAAACGGTAATCACAAGATTAAGAACTGATAATTGGTTTCTGATCACTAGTCTGTCAGTACAATGTATGGGAATGGAATGAGCAGTGCGCTCACTGATCATTCCAAAATGGACAGAGCAGCGTGCGATGGAACATTGGTATAGAGACTGCAGATGTAAAGTCACTAAACCTAGTCTCCCTAATCTAAAACCCTCGAGCCTAAAAGTGGCCTCTCCTTCCTAATATCTTGTAATCCAAACCCACCTACGCTAAAGGCTCAACTCTGATGCTTTCTAAATTTACCTTTCTCACCCTTAAGCCCCAGTCATTTAAAAGGTCATAGCCTTTTTAAACGCATCCAGCAATAAACCATCAAAACCAAAAGCCCCTAACACTTAAGTTACCCTAAATGAATCCAAACTAAAGCGTCTACAATTTTTAAATTATACTTTCACCGTTTGTTTGTTTTTCTAACTTAAAAGAGAACTATGGGGTAAGTCTTTTTCTCCATAGTTCTCTTAAGGGTCACGGGAGGCCATAAACTAGCGTCCTCCCGTCACCCAAAGCTCAGTATATCGCAAGCCACAGCTCGCGGTATACTGAGACCGCCGTAGCCGGTACGGATCCCGACATTACTGTCGAGATCCACCCAGCTGAGTGAGTGACAGCTGGCTCTGCCTCTCGAGTGTTCGCTCACTTCCCAAACTATTGAGCAGATGTGTGACATTTTCATTGTCACACGTCGGCTCGATGAGGATGAGTGATTTTCACTCACCTCAAAGTTCTCCTTTAACATTATTTTTGTCAAAAGGGGACTGACAAGCATTGGGTTGGTGACTGGTACATTTTGTAAAAAGTCCATTTACCTTGCCCCCCTCCTTACAAGATATTTCAAGAGTAATGGGTGCTCGTAATGACTGCGGATGGCGCCACTTGAAATACAGTATCAAATGCAAATGTCCCAGCACGAAGATTCCAGTCAGTGTAAATCCACTTTATTGATAGATGTCAAAAAGACAAGCGCTTTCAGGGGCCGTGCAGGGTCCCCTTTATCAGGCTCAATAATGACGCTTGTCTTTATGACACCCATCAATAAAGTGCATTTGCATTGACGTGAATCTTCGTGCTTCACTCTGCCCAAGCAGGTCGAAGACGGAGGTCCCCGAGTGGCCAGGGTTTGACAGCTCTCAAGCACTTAGAGCAGAGCACCTCCAAATTCTGGAGAGGAGATTGGGGAACAGAAGCTCCTCAATCTCCTCCCAACTGTCATCCTGTCAATAATTATTGTGGTCCCAGTTTTCCAGGAGGATAACCTTTACAAAAAATTAAGATGAAAAGGAGAAACAAGCTCAAATTTCCTATTGTGACCATGAATTTGGTTAAATCCCCCAACGTGCTGTATATTGTCACCTAGCTGACAAGCCAGCAGCCACCTGCTTTCTAAAAAAAAAAACAACAAAAAAAAAAACCACACTTTCACATTAAATAATAACACAAAATGATCTTATTATTGGTTTTTATTGTACAGCTAAAAGGCCCTTTAATTAGGTTAACAGGAGGTGCTGAAGATGTGCACCTGCCAGAGACAGTAAAGTAAATAGGATATTTATGGATTAGTTCCATATCATATTTAGATTACACGTCAGAGATAAAAACATAATAGGATAAAAGCCGAGTCTAATTTACAGATTCATGCATTTAAAATGAAACTGTATCCCTTTCACCATTTCTCCCCAGCAATGAAAAGGCTAGTGAGCACACTGGGGAAGGAAATTGTTCTAAAAATGGCAGCAACCGGGACAGATAACCATAGGCCAAATGACTGGAGGTTTAGGGGAAAGCAATATTTTCAAGACACAGAATGAACAAGGGTAATGATAGTTTTAAAGTGGAGACAATAAAACAAAATCTAATAGGAATTGGAGGACCCGTACCTTCACAATGAGGACACACAAGCTGGCAATACATTAGGATACAACAGGTTTAATTCACAGAGCTTTACACCAAGATAGGGATCTTTATTTTCTGCCAAGTGACTCTTATTTTTAAACATCATTGGACAAAGGTGAAAATAACTGCAACATTTTTTAAAATAAGGATCCTAAATCCTAAATGTTTCAGCTTTGAGAATTAAGCCTAATGCAAACAGTTAAAGAACTCTGGGCAAAAAAAATCGTAACCCTTGCAGTGAGGCTACCCCCATACTGCAAGGCTTAAGTGCTTGTTTTGTCTGGGGAGTTTAAATAATAGAGTTATACTCACCCAAACCACGATCCTGACTGGCTCCTATACCGGTCTCTTCTGTCTGTCTTCTCCTCCGCTCCGGCAATGTCCCTTCCTCCCAGCTATACATCGTATAGAACAGGATGACTCACTAGACCTTAGACCGTTGGAGTGGAGGAAAGAGGCTCCAGAGACCATTCAAGAAGCCAAGTCCATTTATCCCATCGCACTCCTGACCGGAGAATGCCCAATATAACAGGGCGGGTGCAGCAGCGACAACGGATGCCTCCGTCAAAACAGAAAAAGTCACCGGCACTCTGCATAATCAAGTCAATAAGGTTTTATTGACCCAAGTGATAACACCTCTAGCAACGTTTCGGGACCATGCGGCCCCCTTTCTCAGGCAAACAGGAGGGAGGAAGGGGCCGCATGGCCCCGAAATGTTGCCAGAGGTGTTATCACTTGGGTCAATAAAACCATTCTAGAAGCCAGCTGGGATCATGGTTCAGGTGAGTATAACCCTTGTTATTTTCGATCCCTAGATAAAATGAGCACTTAACCCTTGCAGTGCGGGGGGAGCCCCACTTCAAGGGTAAAGATTTCATTTGCCTGGAGTTCTTCTTTGCCACAGCCTATGATTGGGACAGAAACCACCACAGCAGAGAACTCTGATGAGCAGCACTGCAGGAGATCTGGAGGCATGGAATACTACTTTATAGTCACCCTGGCCATTTGCTGACTGCAAAAATAAGCAGACAATGTACTGAATAGTGAATGGGCTTCTTAGATGATTGGGATTTAACACGATCTCATGGTTTAGAGACAACTGGTCAGATACCCCAGGTAGGGCCTACATTTTTTTAATTTTTTTTTTAAAGCAAACTGGTATTGGAACGTAAAGAAATAATCCAAAGTTAATAAATAGGAGGAACCATAAGGGCTATAGAAAATCTTTAAAGCTTAACTGCAGCCAAAACATTGTATTTATATTTTTGCGCAGAGTGGGAAGGTCCACTTTCTCTGCCAACTTTTATTGCTATCTGGGTTGCCCTAAAAAAGCATAACAATGTATGAATATAAAGAGTTAACACGTTTTCAGTTATAAATCAATATCTCACTGTGGCAAAGAGTATTTACTTGTCATTTATTCACCTGCATATGGATTCAACAAAATGGGCTTTATTTAGAATAATGAAAACTGCTTTCTATGAGCATTTCTTCAGTTTGCTTTTTCTATCCCAGCTATTACAAGGATTCAATTATGAACCATGCTCCTTCTAATATCATGACAGTTCTGTAGTTTGGCAAACACACAATGCAATCTTTCTTAGAGCTATAGTACACACACAGTGTAAAACTTTAACCATTTATTAAAATCATTACCATAATCTTGGGATAAGCAGACAAGATTTTTAGGCTTTTATATGAAGTCTATTCAAGCCATGAAACAAAGTACATGCATTACGTAACAAATGTTTTATTCAACAAATCAGCACCTAAAAATGACAATGGCTCTTGCTTGTGGGTGTGCACACTGGTGACTCTTTTAATGGGGCTGTCATCAAGAAATCTTTTTGTTGCTGTCAGCACATATAATTTTCACACATTTATTTGCAAGATAAATGGCATCCAAGCTCATGACCCATAAAACTTTGGACAGCATAACGCTAGTAAATAGGGCACAAACACAATGTCAGCAGTGAGATGGAAGCAATGAGGCCGGAACATTTATAAAATGTTCTCACTGTATTTAACAGAATGCTCTGGAGTGATACTCAGACAACATCACCTTCCAAAGCACCATCACAGAACAGGAAAGTACAAGAAAGGGAGACATATGGCTTACCAGTCATGGGCTGTACCCATGAGCACTACTCATTACACTAGAGCTGCTTTTGGCTCTGGAAAAATGAAGATTTACTAAACTGTATAAAATGATAAGAATGCCTCAAAAGAGGTGGAAGTAAATCTGGCCACACACCAGTAGACTTTTATTCGAATAAATTGTTTTTGGAACGTTTGTTGAATTTTCTAATAGTTAATGAGGTGAAATCGGTGCTCAATTTTGACCAAAGTGATGAAAAAAATGGGAAGAAGCAGGATGGAACATTTTTCTTGCACAAACAAAATTCTAACAGTGAATGTGGTCTTCCTTTGAGAAACTCCCTTAATTTCCAAAATTAAATGTTAAAACCCAAGCAACATTTTCAATGACATTCGTCAAGTCTCTGATGACGTTATCAATTGTTCTGATGAGAACATTTGTACGAAAATCCACCAGTGGATCACCTCTGTCCTCCAAGAAGAGAACCCAGGTATAATCAACCCTGCCAGAAGTATTATAGTGATAAATATAGAGTATTTGGCACCACACTGATTATGAATAAATGTCATCCAAAAATACAACTACTTACATTTTCATGCTTCATGTGCTTAAGCAAGCGCAGCTCCCGATAAGTCCGTCGTGCATGAACCAGTGACTGAAACGGCCGGGATAATTTTTTCACCGCTACCTTTTGTCTTGTTTTGGTGTCATATGTGGAGCTAAAAAAAAAATTAATTCAGTAAATATTAGGACGCCACACTTGACCAAGAGGTACAATTACAAAAATGACAAAGAATATTGTCTAGACACTAGGCTAGCAAAAGCTTGAATCTTTGTAAGGCTTGCCCATTCACATTTATGGCCAACGTAGCAGCTGAGCAGATAGGCCGCATGTTATCGGTTGTATAGATGGGTGTTAGGGGCAGAGGTCCTAAGGCTGAAGTTTGTTGGAAATGCAACACCATATTACTGACATGTCTTTTGAGCTGTAGATGGCGCTGTAGTGCAATGTTACTCGCTATGTGCATTCTTATCTATGATACACAGGAAGCTGTTTTTTTCTATTTTTGTTTTTCTCATAATGCTGTATTCATATGTGACATTCTTCTAAGCAATTAAAACTTAATTCAACATTCCTCAAGATCTCAGTGCTTCATCTAAACACATAACTGTGTATGCTTTTTTTCATTGTACCCATTATGACAGGTTTACTTCAGTGTACAGTTGGCATTAGATAAATATATGCGATTGAATATTTGGTTCCCTTAGAGTGGAACTAAAATCTGCCGATACTTACCTCCATTCCAACGAAGCATCGTCCATAAGCTCCCTCGCTGGCGCTGATATCGTCTCCTGTTTCTTCTGGGTGCCGGTTCTTCGGCAGTCCTGACTGGCTGGAGTAGAAATTATATAACTCCCGTTCATTCATTCTGGCACCAAGTTGTGCCAAGAATGTACACTGAGCTACGAATTCTGTGTACATTGTGAAGAGGTTTGTGAACAGGCAGGTACATTTGTTTTATTCATCAGTGGTTGTAAGTACCCGTCAGTATAATAGTTTCTCCCATCCCCTGTAACTGTCACCTTAGCTTGGTCTTAGTGTACACTATACGCCAAAGTACTAAAACATCGCCATTCAGTAAGAATCGGCATATGGGAACTGTCATTGTAGACTTTCTTTTTAAAGTAGCAGGCTCCAAGGCTGTCACTTCAGTCTTTGCTTCACCAGATACCAGATACCCAGCTTCACCAGATACCCAGTGAGCTGTTGACCTGAAACAAGCATGAGTTCAGATTACTTGGTCCAGGTCACCAGTAAAGCTGACCATGCACTGTCAGAATTGTGGCTGGAAATCTGAAAGTGTGTGGCCCTGCTGGCTCCACAAAAGTGGATTACTGAATGCACTTTTATCAAAGGCGCCGGTAGGAACATTTATGGGCGAACAGTGACTGAAACAATTCAACTGCGGGAGATTTATCCATCCACGCTGTTGACCATGGATGGGAAATCTAATAGTGTATGGCTAGCTTAAAAGGAGTTGTAAAGTCCCAGCATATACTTTCCTGTTAGAACATCAGCATTGTAATAGCAATACACATTATAGTTGTATGTCATAATACAATCAAAGCTTACTGCACAAACCCCTTTTTTGTAGTGAGTGCTGGTTCTGTCTGCCCGTCACTTTTATTACTACCTGCATTCCCAGTGTGCTTTGCATCTCTCTCCCTGCTGCTTGATGTGATGCAATCTCAAGACTACATATCCCAGCATGCAGTGATAATCTTATATTGTCAAACATTGAGTTGTAGTTCAGATGGCAGGCTTAGTTAGAGTTGTGACACAAGGAAATGCACATTCATAGAGCTGAGTGAAATGGTGTCAGTAAATTGAGGAAGTACTTTTTGCCCATAGATATCCTCTCGGTCTATCTAAATGACAGGGTTGACCAAATTGATATTTTGCAGTACAGTGTCTAAAAGGCTTGCCTTTGACACTGTAAGGAAAATTAAACTTGTATGCACACATTATTCTGTGACCTGAAGAGATTCACAGGATGGGTATATACAGAAAAAGGAAGACCACAGAAACGACTTTTGCTGGTAGTTGTGATACAGGATACTATGTGGTTTAGCTGCACAAACAACACAAAGATTTGTAAGAACCTGACCAACCACCCCACCGTCTATGACAAAGATGCACTTTCTGAGTCACAATAACCTACATTATATTTATGGATAGTATTCATGTAATAAAAATCCAGGGAGGATCATGTCCCCAGACTGGAAGGACTTGTTCCCAATCCAGCATCATTTTTCATAGTTCAGCTATTACCAGTTTATGGAAATGACAAGCCACCTTACATGAAATGTACTTCTTAATTACTAATCATTAAACAAATGATCAGCATTCATGTGTAGGTTCTAAAACATGCCCAGACCAATCCTCAGAGCCGGCTAACCAATGTATTTAAAGGTTGACCAACTTCTCTCAGACATTTATTATTGGTATTTATATAGCGCCGACAATTTACGCCGTGCACAGGAATATTAAAAGTCACCCGCAGTAGCCCTAATGCAATGGTTAATTTTGTAACTGCCTGGAGTTCTTCTTTAAAGCCCCCCAAAATATTTTTTTCTGAAAGCAGAGACCCTGTAGAATAAAATGGTGGAACTTTTCATTTCATATGACATTAGCGTAACACATTTTTAGTAAAAATGCATTCAGATTTACTTTAGCGCACAATAGAATACCCAGTTGGGTTAGAGGCGACATGTTTTCTATAGGGGTACATGAGGGGTCTATTAGACTCCTAATGTCATCTTTGCACCCCAACAAAGGACAGACCATGTTACTACAAGGAGGTGGCGGCCCTTAGGCACAGAAACACATGAAAAATGCATGTTTTATGTATTTTTTCAAAATTCCTCTTGGGGTCAAAAACACAGTTCCTACCCCAAGAAAGCTCCTGTACTTGTGTAACAAGATGTGAAAATGACCCATGGAAAAGGATGAAAATGTTTCTAGAAACGTGCTTCAAATCGCTCAGGTGTGAATGAGGGCCTATATAGCGAGAGATTCAATAATTCATGCTTTACTACTTGTATTTTACTTTTACTTGTATTTAAAGCAGTTTAGGAATCTGTCAGGCTGAACAAAATATATCTATAAGTGTATGACCAGCTTTACTCCAGTAGTCTGATCACCTTGATAAAAATCATTTTATGGAATCATCCGTGTCACTACAGCAGCCATTATAATCGTGGCTTCTTACCCATTAGTATACAATCCTTGGATTGTGGGGCATACAAAGTATGAGAAGGACACTGGACTGCTAATTAGCTGCTTGCCTATTGTATAAAAAATAGCTTATTATAAATAGGTAGAGTTAAAGTAACCCTTTCCAAAATATGTGTAAGGTAGTATCCAGAATGCTAGGTACCTAGACATACCATTGCCCCAAAGTCTGTCCCCTCTCACAGCTCCCTTACTAGCACCCTAAACAACCAATACAGAGGCTGTCTACATTGCATTCTGATTTAGGAAAAGAAAGGGTTACAGGAAAAGCCTTCACTGGGGGAAATATGGGGAATGTTGGCTTCACTGACCCAGAACAAGCATGCAGATGAGAAAAGGGAGAAGGAAGTCAGAATTGCAAATCTGCATACTTGCTTCAGGGACTGAGAACTTTTTAAAGCCATTGGCTCAGTATGATAAGCAGAGAACCAGAATTTTCAGAAGGACAGGTCAGCAATAGCACCTTCCATATTCTCCCAGTACAGGTATTTCATTCAGCAACGGACAAATCCCTGGTAGCCAAACTCCTTAGAAATTACAGTTGGTGCTCAACTTTTTAGGTTTTCTCTAGTTGTTGTCAATTAATCTGGTTCCTGGATTGGACAACCTGGGTCCTGAAATCCAAATTCATGTGTCCACCACTGATTTAAAGTAGTATTAAACTCAAACGTGTATCAATAATTAATCCATATCAAACAAATATACATTGCCCTGCAAAAGTATTTCATTACATTTTTTGCCCAGTCGTCTAAACAACTGGCTCCAACTCTCTTGGCTCCGCTTCCCTGAACTTCCTGCCTATATTTTCCTTTGCTCCATAAACTCACAGTATGTGCCCCAAACAATTAAAGCCAATCTCCTTGCGATGGAGATACCCCTGCAGTGCAAAGTTTCCTGCTTTTTTATGTGTAAGGGAGCAGTGTGAAGCGGTTTTACTTACCTGACCCCCGCTCCCACAGGTTCCAAGACCCGCAACCGAAACCTCTTGTGGTCGGAAGGGCTGCTGACGTCATCACATCTAACTTAAGGCCCATATCCTTGCATCCTACACGAGGACACGGAAAGACAGCTCACAAGCTAAATGGGAGGGGAGAGAGGTGAGCAGCGACTGCTGGGGGCGCACAAATTAGGTAAAAGCTTCTTTATACAATCTACTAGACATGAGCAGTTAACCCTTGCAGTGCATGGGGTATCCCCACTGCAATGGCAGTTTTCTCATTTCCCTGGAGAAAGGCTTTGCACACCTGTATATACAACATGCATGCTACAAGTTTGATGTAAATACTTCCTGCATAAAGCTAGCTGCCTGCAACATAGATAACACCCATCGTGATCTCATCTACTTCATTCTCCAGAAAAATTAGGACAATTGGATTGGGACATAAAAATGTGTTGGATAACTAGGTCACAATTAAAAAATAAATGTCTTCAAATAATGCCCTAAACACACTGTCATCATCAGAGCTAGTAAACATTCATCTGAAGAACATCAGATCCAGAAGGCATTTACAAAGCATCTGAAAACCTTCCAGCAGCTTTCAAGACCTAAGGCCTGATATACATAGGCTTCAACTTGTAAAAGCTAGTCTGAAGACAGAGTTTACAGCAATTGTAAGCTTCAAGAAAGCCTCAAGTGTTCCAAACTATCAGAACTCAGCGAAGGAATGCTTAAAATCTTTGTCATTGATTGTTGTACACACTGCTGTTCATTCTCGCCGTTAGGAGTCGAAGCCTATGCAACAAGGCCTTCAAGTGTAAGAGCAGCTAGTAAAGCTGCCATTCATACAAGTAGAACATATTCCTAGTCATGAGGGGATAACAAATTCAAAAAGCTGTTTAATGCTTGTTATAGGACCTCTGTCACTTCCAAAAACTAAACTAAAAACGTGCCTGTAAAATGACACAGGTGATACTTACATGTCC